AGCGGTGTCTGTCGCCTGGGCACAGGTATCTCTCGGTCACTGCCCGGGCGAGGACAGCAGTACCGGGCGAGGAGAGGGAGCTGCATGCCCCGACCTCTGCTGCTGCTGCTCCTAACAGCCGCTCTCCCCTCCTGCTTGCAGGGCCAGCCAGGTCCTGCCCCTTGTCCTCAGGCGACGCAGGAGCCCGAGGGCGACCTCGAAGCTGAGCAGCGTCCCCAGCCCCGGGTGCAGTTGGCAGAGGGTTGAGTGCTGACTCTTCCCAGGAGATGGACAGGGTCACCAGGCACCTGGTCTTCCAGCTCCTGCACAAGCATGACTATAACGATGTTCACCAAGCCGGCTCGTTTGCAGAGCAGGGGGCCAACAGTGACGACGATGTGTTTGGCTCTACTCAACATAGCTGCCAGAGGGTGGAAAACGGCTATGGCTGGAAAACGAGGTCGGAGTCATCCTCATATTTCCTGGATGGTGGAAAAGATGTCTGGACCCCATCCCCGGATAGGGAGTCCAAGCTGGAGGTGGTGAGGTCAGGAAGCCTGTACGACCTCAGGGCTTACAGAGGAGAGAGGAAACCCTCGAAGCTTTACGATGAGGATGAGGAGGAACAGTACAGGGTCCCTCCACCGAGCATCTCATCTGAGAAAGCCAGGGAGCTGGAGGATGAGAGGAGGGATGTCATCCAGAAGCAGGTGGTGAGGAAGAGCTCCACCATGGCTGAGAGGTCGAGTTCCATGGATGAGCTGAGCTCCATAAATGCCGTCATGGGCAGCCAGGGTGAAGACAGGCACACGGGCAGCTTCAGCACCAGCTTCGCCATTTGCTTCGACAAGCCTTCCTCGGGGAGGGCAGCAACGCCTGTTGACCCTGAAAATATCAACACGGAGCAGATCAACTTCTCCGCTGCTCGGCAGCAGTTCCTGATGCTGGAGAAGACCAGCCCGGGCTCTTTTTTCAGCCCAAGGCAACAGGCCATGTCTCCAAAGCCAGAGTCGATGACAAAAGTCTCTAGACAAGAGTGGCATAGTCCTGAGATGGCTGCGAGAGGTTGCAGTAGTGCTGGTGCAGCCAGCCAGAGCAGGACGGACAAGACAGTTTCTCAGGTTTATAGCGTGTCCTACAAGACACCTGTGAAGGAGGAGGTTGATGCTCCCAGAAGGGCCGATACTGAAAAGTCATGTCCCACCGGGAAAGCATCCAGCTTGACTAAAGCGTCTTCCAGAGAAGACCTCGACTCCAGCTTGGGTGAGATGTATAACAAAGCTGATGCAGGTTACACCAGCGATGGAATGGCATCCGACGAGATCTTCAATGACCCTGTGGATCTGAGGGCCGACAGCAATGGCCCAGACAAGGAGGTGAAGATCAGCAACGAGACGCCCATCGAGCGGGAGATCCGCATGGCGATGGAGAGGGAGGAGAACCTCTGGAAAGAGAGGGGGATCCAGCGGCTGACCTCCAGCAGTGAGCTGGTGGAGATCCAGACCAAGCTGCTCCTCTCCATGCATGCCTCTCCCGGCCCAGGCAGGAAAGGGAAGGACAAAAGCCGCGCTTCCCTTTACGTCCAGAGGGAAATCGAGCAGGAAACCAAGCGCGAGGAAGACCTGAAGAAGCAAGGGAGGCTGCTGGGGACGTACGACAGGGGTACGCAGCAGGAGCTGGATGAGCGCAGGAAGGTGTTCGAGCAGGAGGAAGCCCCCCCGCAGACGCCCACCCCCACGAGGAAGGCAGAGGAGCGGAGGAGCTGGGTTAACGAGTCTGCAGCGGAGCAGCCCACGAGCCACGGCCCCTGCCCCACAGAAGACACCAGGGTTGGGAGAAGCCTTCCCAGCCATGCAGTGAGTAGCACGCAATTCCAGGAGTCCCAGCCGTGCTTCACCGCCAGCGAGAAGAGCCAGGAGCAGCCCCCGGTGTCCCAGAGCGTTTCCGCCAGCGCCAGCAAATGGGGAAGCAAGGATTCCCAGGAAGGAAGGCTTCCCGGCTCCACCCCGAGCCCCGCTGTCATGCCCAGAGAGTACTTCTTCTCCTGGAAGCCCAAGGTCTCCTTTGTGGACAACATGGGGACACAGAGCCCGCCAAGGAGGGACGAGAGCAGGGAGGAGCAGTACAAGATGAGGACCTGGAGGCCCCATATGTCGGCACTGATTGACAAGGAGATCCGGAGTGACTTGCAGAGGGAAGAGGAGCTGCAGGAGCAACGGCGGAGCAGCTGATAGATGGCTGCTCCGTGGTCAGCAGCGACAGCTTTCCGCAGGAGGGCTCTCACTCACGGCACAGCTCCGGTAAGGGGAGGAGAGGAACGGTGGGATGGGACAGGGCAGGGGGCACACCCTGGGGCAGAGCTACCATGGGCATCTCTCCCGCCCTCACGTTCCTTGTGGCTCTGAGTCTCAGCAGGAGCCATCTGAGGGGGCAGGGGGACCCAAGGGACCTCCCGGTGCAGGCAGGTGCCTCTCCCAGGTGTGGGAAGCCATTAGGCAGCAAAC